GATGAGTGCAGCGTAAAACTAAACTCACTCACTCACTTAATTGACCATAAACTGAAGGTCTGACCTTACAAGTTTTTTGACTTTGTTTCAATTAAAACATGTTGAATACCCCCCCCCCTACCAATCCTATTTGTCATTAGTGAACTTCAATTTTACGTCACATCAGCATTATTTCTGCCATATATATATAGTGATGAGCTATTCATCATCAAGACTTTACAGTATTACTGTCATATATATATAGTGATGAGCTATTCATCATCAAGACTTTACAGTATTACTGTCATATAGTGATGAGCTATTCATCATTAAGACTTTACAGTATTACTGTCATATAGTGATGAGCTATTCATCATCAAGACTTTACAGTATTACTGTCATATAGTGATGAGCTATTCATCATCAAGACTTTACAGTATTACTGTCATATAGTGATGAGCTATTCATCATCAAGACTTTCCAGTATTACTGCCATATAGTGATGAGCTATTCATCATCAAGACTTTACAGTATTTCTGCCATATAGTGATGAGCTATTCATCATCAAGACTTTACAGTATTTCTGCCATATATATATAGTGATGAGCTATTCATCATCAAGACTTTACAGTATTACTGTCATATAGTGATGAGCTATTCATCATTAAGACTTTACAGTATTTCTGCCATATATATATAGTGATGAGCTATTCATCATCAAGACTTTACAGTATTACTGTCATATAGTGATGAGCTATTCATCATCAAGACTTTACAGTATTACTGTCATATAGTGATGAGCTATTCATCATTAAGACTTTACAGTATTACTGTCATATAGTGATGAGCTATTCATCATCAAGACTTTACAGTATTACTGTCATATAGTGATGAGCTATTCATCATCAAGACTTTACAGTATTACTGTCATATAGTGATGAGCTATTCATCATCAAGACTTTACAGTATTTCTGCCATATAGTGATGAGCTATTCATCATCAAGACTTTACAGTATTTCTGCCATATAGTGATGAGCTATTCATCATTAAGACTTTACAGTATTTCTGCCATATAGTGATGAGCTATTCATCATCAAGACTTTACAGTATTACTGCCATATAGTGATGAGCTATTCATCATCAAGACTTTACAGTATTTCTGCCATATAGTGATGAGCTATTCATCATCAAGACTTTACAGTATTACTGTCATATAGTGATGAGCTATTCATCATTAAGACTTTACAGTATTTCTGCCATATAGTGATGAGCTATTCATCATCAAGACTTTACAGTATTACTGTCATATAGTGATGAGCTATTCATCATTAAGACTTTACAGTATTTCTGCCATATAGTGATGAGCTATTCATCATCAAGACTTTACAGTATTACTGTCATATAGTGATGAGCTATTCATCATTAAGACTTTACAGTATTTCTGCCATATATATATAGTGATGAGCTATTCATCATCAAGACTTTACAGTATTACTGTCATATAGTGATGAGCTATTCATCATCAAGACTTTACAGTATTACTGTCATATAGTGATGAGCTATTCATCATTAAGACTTTACAGTATTACTGTCATATAGTGATGAGCTATTCATCATCAAGACTTTACAGTATTACTGTCATATAGTGATGAGCTATTCATCATCAAGACTTTACAGTATTACTGTCATATAGTGATGAGCTATTCATCATCAAGACTTTACAGTATTTCTGCCATATAGTGATGAGCTATTCATCATCAAGACTTTACAGTATTTCTGCCATATAGTGATGAGCTATTCATCATTAAGACTTTACAGTATTTCTGCCATATAGTGATGAGCTATTCATCATCAAGACTTTACAGTATTACTGCCATATAGTGATGAGCTATTCATCATCAAGACTTTACAGTATTACTGTCATATAGTGATGAGCTATTCATCATCAAGACTTTACAGTATTTCTGCCATATAGTGATGAGCTATTCATCATCAAGACTTTACAGTATTTCTGCCATATAGTGATGAGCTATTCATCATCAAGACTTTACAGTATTTCTGCCATATAGTGATGAGCTATTCATCATCAAGACTTTACAGTATTTCTGCCATATAGTGATGAGCTATTCATCATTAAGACTTTACAGTATTTCTGTCATATAGTGATGAGCTATTCATCATTAAGACTTTACAGTATTTCTGCCATATAGTGATGAGCTATTCATCATTAAGACTTTACAGTATTACTGTCATATAGTGATGAGCTATTCATCATTAAGACTTTACAGTATTACTGTCATATAGTGATGAGCTATTCATCATCAAGACTTTACAGTATTACTGTCATATAGTGATGAGCTATTCATCATCAAGACTTTACAGTATTTCTGCCATATAGTGATGAGCTATTCATCATTAAGACTTTACAGTATTACTGTCATATAGTGATGAGCTATTCATCATTAAGACTTTACAGTATTACTGTCATATAGTGATGAGCTATTCATCATCAAGACTTTACAGTATTACTGTCATATAGTGATGAGCTATTCATCATTAAGACTTTACAGTATTACTGTCATATAGTGATGAGCTATTCATCATCAAGACTTTACAGTATTTCTGTCATACTGCAAAAGTTTATCCATCCAGTATATTAATTAAAAAATACCCAACAAGTATATTATTATTTGTATTGCTAAACCTAAAATCTACACAAAAATACATTCCCTTTAAAACTAAATGACAAGTCAAAAAGGGAAAAGTCATTTTTCTCAATCACTGGATTGTCTGCTCCAGACTCCATAATTTACAAACTGCCGCCATATAGCTGGAATATTGCTGAGTGCAGTGGTAAGAACAAACAAACAAACAAACAAACAAACAAACAAACAAACAAACAAACAAACAAACAAACAAACAAACAAACAAACAAACAAACAAACAAACAAACAAACAAACAAACAAACAAACAAAACAAAACAAAACAAAACAAAAGCCATGACAAATTACTGTTGTTATATGAAAAACTCAAATGTCCTTCAACTTCTTTGCAGTAGCATATATTCATATTTTATAATACATAAATGACTGAAAAGTCACAAGGAGAGGTGATGTAAAGTTTAATGTGCTTATCCCTTATAGGTTAGGTAATAACAATGCTATATGACATGTATATTACATAGTAAATCATCGTTAATCACAAGTAAACAGTTATCTGTAAGTGCTGTAGGAAATTAACAAGACAAAAATAACACCATGATATTTGAAGCACAACAATTTGATCAAGATGAGCTTTAAATTATTTATTGACTGCATGACATAGGGCAGACACACACTTAATCTTTAAAAGTCAAATAAACAATTACAACATTCTGTCTAGACATATATTCAATAACAAAGAAAAAGCATATAAATAGTTAAATAAACAATCTGAAATTGACACTTATCATGTCTTTGAATGGCATTTAGACACCCATGTTATGTCGACATGTTCACCCACTCAGACTGAAAAGGTCACAAGAAAGACTTTAATGTTAAGTGAAACGGTGCCTCGTGAAACCTGTTGCATTGTCTAGTTTTCACTAGAATTAAAAGTTTCCATATACTGTTGTGGTGGCCTTGTGGTTAAAGTGTTGGATCAGGGTTCAGTTCCCAAATTATTGGTACATGTGAACCAGTTATTAATAAAGCTGGAATATTGCTAAAATAGGCATAAATTTCAACTGACACTTTCAACAGGAAAAAATTGAAGTCATATTTAGAAATTATGTTTATTGTTATCCATAATAGAATCTTCTATGTGAATGTATTTTATTTTGATGGCCGAATTTAATTTTTATGCACTTTGATTTTTTTTTTAAATTTCAATGCTTACTTTCTTCTCCCCTCTGAACCACCTCCTCTGACAAACATTCACCTCAATAAAAACTGATTAAATAACATCCATTTTTTATGCAAAACTAGGAAGGGCTTGTGTCAAAACCCTCAATCCATGTTATGATATTAAAACATTTTTCACTCAAAGGATAGAAGAACTCATATCCTCAAAAAACTGCTGACTAAGTTCATAAATATGTCCACATGTCTATTTCTCTATGGACTAAATCACCTATAACAATTCATTTAGTGGACAGGTATGACAGACAAATGGCCCCAGTACTCTCCACAGAGGACAAGTGGTCAGCCATCTTGTTTTTCCGCTCAGTTTCAATGAAAGCTTTCCGATGTACTAAAGAGTCTAACAGTTTCTTGTCAGCCTGGGGTAACGGCAGCTTTCTTTATCCCCAAATATATCACATCAAATGGCCCATCTCAATAGGCCTTATTGCTAGAGATGTCGTAGAGAATACTTTTATGGCAAGCTCTCTTTCCTTGTATAATGTATATATGCAAATTGTATGCACGGTCAATAGTGATAAAAACTTCACTCTGGGGAGGTACCCATTGTAATATGGATGCTAGAATTTGGCTACAGAAGATACAGGCATGGCTCCAAGTACTCAAACCAATGTGCCTCTCATAAAACCCTATTCTTGGGATTTGTTTCATTAGACAAAATTAGCAGCTAATTTATTGATTTTAATGTTTAATGATTTAATACCCTTTGCTTTAAACTTTCATCCTCAAAGGAGCTAGCAGTAACGGTGCCAGTCTATCCACGCTCAGTGCTCTTCTTTGAAGGCTAAATACCGATAGTGCAAAATTGACAATTTTGAGGAAGCATTTGTGTTATTCCTTGCAGGGGGGGGGCACGTGAGGTAAAAGTTTATACGGTCTTATCCACAGTGATGTCCGTGGAAATCCCTCCGCCTGTTATGCCTTTCATACATCGGTGGCATAAAAGTTCAAGTTATCGGATGAAAGCGGGGAGAGTAAGCCAGCGAACACTTCCTGCCACCGGAATGCGAAGATCAGAGAGCTGGTTTTGTAAATGCTGCTCAGCATGCACTCATTCCCCGAGCACCTGGTCTCACAAACAACACCTAATTTTATCAAGGAAACATTAAAAGTTTTCTTACCAAGCTTTGAGTGGCCAAATGTGAAAAGACATCCATCTGCACCATTTACAACTGCTTGAACAATCTCCTGCAAGGCTGCTTGAACACACCTCAGCCTGAAAATGAAATATACATACATCTTAGATCGAAATTGATCTGAGAAAAAGAAAAGAAAAAACTTTATAACTTTGGTTACTTCTCATGGCAAATAATGTCGAACTAACCGTCAGTTGTGCTTCATGTGTTTATGTTATAAACACCTTTGTGTCTATACAGAAACAGCCTTCACAGGAGTTACATACTGAAAGATCTCTGTCAGCTGATGATATGAAACATCTATTTACATGCAATATACAAGCACATTGATGTCATCATGTCAGTGGCACGAACACATGTTTATTCAGCTGTGGTATATGGTTTGTTTCTGCAATAAAGATATAACTATAATATACAACAGAAAGCTGTTTATAGGCATTGGAATAAGACCACCCAAAACATACTTATCTTTTCATTACATACCAATTCTACCTGAATGTCCATTTTTTTTCCAACATTGCCATGTTCTTTTGTGAAACTGGATGTTTAATGACTTAACAGAATCACTTCTTTGAGAGGAAGTTAGAAGTAGGAGTACTAAGGAACGCCTTTATTACAATAGGAGCTCCTACTTTCCATATATTCTGATACTTTCCTTACAGTATCGTGTGAATGTGCAATTGTACTCACAAGTTGAAACCAAGGTGAATACAATTACAGGTGCTTTATCACATCTTTGAAGAGTTTGAAGACGTTTAGAGGTGACTACCAATTAAAAGTCATGTTGCTGAAACTATCCTCAAAGAAATGAACACAAAAGAAATGGATGAGCAATCAACTAATGTGCCCATTGAAAAACCCTGATGTACATTTCATGATGATGATGCATGTTCTCAAGATGAAGCCATTACCAAGAAGGCTGCAGCAATCATCAATGCCAAGAATAAAACAGGAAACATTTTAACATTTTAGTCAGCTCACATTACTGCATAGTGCCAGACAGTTCCTTAGATAACAGAGTGTTGATTCCACAGAATGGCAGGCAGCACAGACATTTTGAAGTCTGTATCGAACATATCAGCTGAAAATGTTATCTGAGATTAGCGATTAGACAAAGGTCATTTACTTTGTTGAAGATGTCTTCAGTGGTAATCATGCAGTTTGCATTCCTAAATATTGGTTTAATGGGAACGCAAGTGTATAACAATAAAATCACTATCTGGGTAATTGTTAGTTTGCATAAACAGACACGCTTGTCATACATCAAAGTCACTCATGTGCCATTTTCATGTATATGCTGTGTTCTTTGGGTTTCAACTCAACATTGCAACAATTACGTACACCAAAAACTGTCCCAAAGAAACGACAGCTCCATCTTTATTTGTTGTTTTCGCTTGAACCTCAACAACAGAATTCATCAGTCATGTTTGCAAGCAAATAATCACTGAGCTCGTATATCAGTCTATGCGCAGGGCTCAGTGAAAACGACTATGGCAAAGGCCATTTTTCTTGCAGGCTGAAATGAGGATATTGGAAGCATGGCGAAGACCATACTTCCAGCAGGGATATATTGTGGGGGATTTTCAGTGAGCTGTTGCATGCATTTAACCTGACCTCTTCCCCATTTTCCCTCATAACCAAAAGGGAGGATAATGCCAGAGAAGAAACTGTTTCACCATATGTTGTTCCCTATGCACAAGCAAGGTGAGAGGAACTGAGCAGGGGGTTGGGCATTGGGGTTTTAGGGGTGAGGGGAATCAGATAGTTCAACTCAGGTAGCAACAATACCCACAAGAATCTTAGTCTTTTAACATGAGGCAGATGTCTGTGTTGCAGAATTGACAGGAATGCTTAGGTCAGCAATGTCACTGAAGGTATTTTCAGATATAGACAGCAGAAATGTTATCAATTCTGCAGAATGTTTCATAGCATATCTTGGGTATAAAAGAGCGTTTTCAGGCATTAAATGCTATATTTCATTTACTGATTTGATTAAGTGTGATACGTTTAACTATATGATGTGATTTCAAGGGCGATTTCAATTTTGATGAAAATTGTCAGCAGTGCAACTGTAGAGTGAAAGTACTAGGTGAAATTAAATGCCACAGAGTCCGATGTGAAGCCAAATGATATCTTAGAGTGAGTGAGTGAGCATGGTTTTATGCCGCTTTTAGCAATATTCCAGCAATATCACGGTGGGGGACACAAGAAATGGGCTTCACGCATTGTACCCATGCAGGGAATCGAACTCGGGTCTTCGGCGTGGTGAGTGAACGCTTTAACCACTAGACTACCCCACTGCCCATATCTCTGCTTGACATCAGTATCATATGTTATTCAGACATTACACAAATGCTGACACAAACACATGAATTCATCCAAAATTCTTGTACATCCTCAGAAACCAAAATTACTGTCATCGATGTAAATACAGTACCATCCTCATTTGTCCTAAATACCAGTGTGTGCAATCTCAAACCCTGCCACCTGACACCTTAACCACTAGGATACCCCAATATGTTAGATGTGAAACTTAAGAACTTAGTGTCAGAAGTGAAACTGGAGGAGAGAATGTCAGATGTGAAACTGGAGGAGAGAGCGTCTGATGTGAAACTGGAGGACAGAGTGTCAGATGTGAAACTGGAGGACAGATTGTCAGATGTGAAACTGGAGGACAGAGTGTCAGATGTGAAACTGGAGGAGAGAGAGTCAGATGTGAAACTGGAGGACAGAGTGTCAGTGAAACTGGAGGACAGAGTGTCAGATGTGAAATGGGAGGACAGAGTGTCAGATGTGAAACTGGAGGAAACAGCGTCATATGAGCAACTGGAGAAAAACAGTGTCAGAAGTGAGACTGCAAAACATAGTTTCAGAAGTGAAACTAGAGGACATGTCAGACAGAAAACCGGTTGAGTGACCAGTGATGAAGAGCATAGTGTGACCAGTGAAACCGGAGGACACATCAGAAATGAAGTGTCAGACGTAGAAATGTTATAAGTGCCACAGCTCTGTCAGACTGGGGAAACTATTACTTATTCACCTGCTCTGCCCCGGGCAGGTAATGGGATCACAGTACCAGTGCTGCTTTGCGATGATTTAGTGATGAACAAGACAGAGGCTATATATGGTCATCACACAAACTAAAGCCAAGGAACCAATTAATTAATAATTTACACATGGCTGGATTCTTCTTGTCCTGGTGACTGCTCCCAATGCAGTCAGCTCTCATTACCTCAACCCTAAATATCTCATCATAAACCTTTGGTCCCAATCTCCTGACTATAGATCATATATCAATTATCCTCAGACTACACCCAGTTCATCTCAAGGCAATGTCACAGGGTCATGTTCTGATGGAATACAGTAATTCAAATTTCATATTCCAAGTGTACTTTACCTATAAGATATTATTTTATATCACTACATAATTTACTTAACATGATTCTTTCACTTTTAAAAATTAAAAATGGTATCTGAAAATAGTTTTATCAGCAAAGTTGATCTGATTTATGAAAATACGGATGCGTGTTTGACTTGGACTCAGAAATCAGATACTCAATATTTTAATCTGATAAACTTAACCTTTTAAAGAATAGAATACATTTTAAAGAATAGAATACATTCTAATAAGACGCTAACCTTAACACATGACACTTCTAAGAGTACAGATCACCCTTCAGTGGGTAACTTATCTAATGTTGGTCAAGAAAGGAATGGGCTTGCCTAAGGGAGACATCACAGAGTGTTTATATACATTTGAACACCCTGAAAATGTGTTATCCATCTGACAATACACACCGAGCCTCAGGTATAGAAGTAATCGATCAGCCGCAAGAATTTCTGTCACATTCTTGGCACCATTGTGTTGTCATACTATCTGCCAAGTTGCCGCATCCTTTCAACACCTTACTCAACACATAACAAACAAAAAAGGGTAGTCCATAATAAGAGTGTCAGAAGGGGAGATAATGCTGGTCCCAATACAGCTATCATGCTTAACGAAGTCCCAGCAACTAGGGTGAAAACCAGTGCTACAAGATGTGATGTTACCAAAAACAGACAAGCTATCAACAACTCTTGCAGAAAACTGGGTTAATATGGGTGAAAATGAATGTTTAACAAGCAGAAAAACACCTACGCTGAACTTGATGAATAGTTCAGATAAAGTTTTAGCAGGTAAAAGATGTCTCATTTGGAACACAGGTTGTAAGGGTAGCAATTAATGTTGAATCAGGCCTTTGATGTTGTGTAGTGATACTGAATCTTTATTTGAATCCTTTGAATTTTAAGAAAAACATACACAAGGTTGTTACTATAATTCATGCCTATCATTACTATAGGGAACCAAAAATGTTTTGTCAGCTAGACACAATTTCATAAAAATATCTCTTTCTTTTTTTGTTCAGTACATCTACATGTGGTTAAATCATACTTTCAAATTCTGGTAAATCATACCACTCACTTGCATTTTGGCTACCATGGTAACAAATGATCATTATGCATCACTTTATGAAAAAGCTGTATTTTCAACTCCCTGGGGAGAGTGCAACTAAACCAACTTCCCTGTGAGTCCAGGAAGATTTCCATGGGACTTAACAAGGTTGGAGTCTTACACTTAGTAGTTACAGACATGGAAAAAAGAATTCATTGTGCACAATAGTGTTTTATGAATAAAACATGAAGAAGTGTCAGTTATACAAAGACGGGTGAAACAGCTTACCAGCGAGTCATCTGGTGAGAAGACAGCATCGAATGCAAACATTTTAGGGGCAGTCACTCCCCCTCTTCTGCTTGCAGCAGTTGAGTAACCACTGGCGGACGGGTCATAAACGGTTACTTGCTTCTTCCGAGGGTCAAGGTTTAGGAAAGTGTGGGCCTGCTCTCCTTGGGTTGAGCTGGATGGCGAACATATTTTCAGCATCACTTTAACCTAAAAAAAGTAAAAATAAAAATTTCATAAAAATCATTGTTCCAATTATTCTGTAAATATTGCTGTCTGTATTGACTTTAAGAATTGGAGTATGTTAGACCTTGTGATAGATAAACAAGTGAGAAACAAGGGTCATCTGAAATGAGTGAGAGAGTGAAGTCGATGAATTACTTTTAGCAATATTCCAGCAAAATCATGACATGGACACCAGGAATGGGCTTAAGATATAGCACCCATGTAGGGAATCAAACCCGGGTGTTCGGTGTGATGAGAGAACACTTCAACCACTTGACTACCCCACCACCTATGAAGTGAAATGGTAATTAATATCATGTTCGCGAGTATTGCATTGTGTACTGACAGGCAGGTGTGTGGCTGCTTGTAATGGATAAGATTGATGCAGCATGAGGCAAGGTAATAACAAGTACCATGTTTTAACATCTTTTCGTGTGATGCAACTAGGGCTGAAACAATGACCTTTGTCCCTCCTGGTAGATGATCTATCAACAATGGAGAAGGTCTGGGAAGTTACATTAACTGTAGCAGATATCCAGCCTGAGCTGACTACCAAGCAATGAACAATCACAAATATTGCTCATGAAAATGCCACTTGAATGTAATGCTTGTTAACAATTCAAGTACAAAACTCCACAAGAAGTTAGTGAGTGTGCATATAATTCCCTATTCAGTACCGGTATTTTTGTTGCTCTCTCAGGGATTACCTCCCGAAATTACATTTTACTTTACAAACAGTAAGGGCCGAGGGATAATCCAGTGGTTAATGTTCTCACTTGTTAGCTGAAAGCGAAGGTTTGATTCTTAACACAATTACAATGAAGCCCATTTCTAGTGTCGCTCATAATGATAATGTTCAAATATTTCTAAAATCATGTAAAATCATACTAACTTATGAATTGAACCAATATTGCCCATCAAGGAAAATGGCTACCTCGTATTTTATCGAATCTGCCTTAGAATTCTACATTCTAGGCACAATCAATTTCCTGTAGTATTTGTATTGTTTTGTTACATAATACCATGAATTCAAACAATAAACATTAACTGAATAATTGAGCAAATCTGGGACATTAATTTAAGAAAAAAGTGAGTATTCAAAGTCATAAATGTAAATAAACATCTTAATGTTTGATGTTTCAGAATGTAAACAATTTTCTTTTTGCCCTAGATGCAGTTTCTCTCTCTAGTTTATTGGGAGCGTGTCCTTGAGAGAGTGACACAAATCTAAATTACTTGAGTTTGAGAAATGCCATCAGCTCCACAAACCCATTTCTTCACAAATGTCATCATGAACAAAGAATAGAAGTTGTTACATTCCATTATTCATGCCACAATTAAATTTTACTGCTTTGAGAATGGCCAATAAAAATTATCAAGAGTATCAAATTTAATTTAATCACTTAAATTTGTTCAGTTCATGGTCATTTTTAATCCTGCTTGACAAATGCTCTTAGTTTGAATGTTTCAAATGAAAAATTCAACTAAAAAACAAAACTCTATCCATTAATGAATTAAACAAAACCCCATGCTGCTTCATACAATGGTTTATTACCTTATGGTATTATTGAATAACACCAAAGAATTCTTAAAAATATTCCTAATCTTGGCACTATGATTTCCACTGAATGCATACAACATTCTATGACAGCAACTGGCGATACCTTAATTCGATTTGGGATTCTGGGAAATATCCTGATGGTCCCATAAGATATCCCAAATGCACTGAAAGGTCCAGAAATATACATCATACCCAGCTTAAGTAATAAGCCCACTTTCTGCTATATCAAAAGACATTCTTCAACTTATTACCAAATGAACGGTGCTATACGGGCTACCAATCATATATCCTGGAGGCCACCAAGGGCAACTGGTGCCCCATTCCAGCACCAAACAAATATATACACTATCAGTAATTTGGTAATCTTTGCCATAATGTGCAATAAAGTAGAAAATTAAAAGGATGAGAGGAAGTGCCTATAGGAGTTGATGTACAAATCCCAAAGGAATGTGATGTATTAGAGCTTATTTATATGACGGATGGTCACAGAATATGAGCAGATTGACACATAGAAAATCAATAATAGTCATCGATTGGCGCTCCTCAGCCATTTAATCAGAGCCTCGGAGTGTACAAGGACAAGGCACTACGCACTGACTCCCATCTGTATTCTGTTCCAACCCTTCACAGTAACTTGCCCTGACAGGGTTTTACTACAGTCTGTGAAAAGGAATGCGAATTTGTGAACCATTTGTTTCAATTTGTGCAGCTTACAGAAGCTAGGAATGGGTTCCAATCATTTGTGATACTAATTTGCTAACCCAGTTCCCCAACTTCATTGAATGTTCAGTTCTGAAGCAGCCTAACTGTCTTGACCTGTTACAGTTCTTTGATGATAATTTAATATTACCAATTGAATTATGCATTGAAATACGAACACAAGTGCTAATCTCCTTTGACGATATGACAGTCCCCAAATCACATTTCAGATTTAATTTTTTGACAATCCGAACCATTCCCACTTTTCTACCTTTATTGGGCACTTGAATAATAGATGTACTAAATCGAGCATAACTCTGGATCAAATTTCAAGCCACAACCAGATATGCTACAGACTGATGGCAAATTCCACTGTATCAACAATTGTTATGAACCTAAACAGTGAAGGCCAATTTTCGTGTTTGCCTGATTAAATCCAATCTGCTGGCTGTGTCTCCGCCAGCAGGATTCGCCTCATCTAGCTAGGACCGTTTTTGCTGGCATATCCTTTCTGCAGTTGGCCAGGGGCATGAAATATTTATCAGCACTATCATCTCCCTCAATTGTGTCAAGTCCTTTTGATTTACAACTCAGATTAATAGTATCAGGCACTTTGCAAATCTGATTAAGTATATTTCATCTGTAAGGTCGTATATGTCACAGCTATTTAACCATTATGGTGGGACTTTTACTAAGCCAAGTTATGATTCCTTAGCTTCATTAGATGTTCATCCTGAGTCTTGTTCCAAGTGTTCACCATAATCTTGGCAGGCATGGCCATAAAACACCTCCCTCCTCTGGGCTTGGTGGAATCACTCCCCTGGGGCTGACAGTAACTCATTTTGCCACATAAAATGTACTTTTTAGTTTGCTAGAAAATTAGTCTCAGCTGAGATCTGTTCCATTTCAAACATACTACCTACAACAGATGACATGATAGTCATCCTACATATGAAAAACACTTGTTAGGAAATTACTATCTGCCAAGTTGAGATGGGTCGACATGGTAAACCGCTGTTTTCTTGTTATACAAATGAGCATTTTAGGTGAATCATCTCCTGAAACCGGTTAAGCAGCCCTGTCTGGGGGTTATAACCTTAATTTCACTTGTCATAACGGTATGCCAAACATCTAGTTTTTCATATACGTCTATGATTAACTCTTTGATAGTTATCTGGTAAAATACGGTCTTGCATACAGGATAGAGCCCTACACTATATGTGGAACTATTCTCTTTAAACAGTAAACCTTTAGAATTATAAAATAGCAGAAAACATTTTTAGGTTATTTATGTTTAGTGAAAAAAAACCCATTTTAACTTGGGAGGTTGTAATTTTTTAACTTTCAATATTCTTTTTAAATATTAGTGATCAGTATCAGGGAAATTTGACTGTTACTCTTAATTTCAAACACTGAGAAGTGTTTAAATGCTAATATTAATACAAGGATACAATACATGATCAAAATGATGTTGCTGTAAGCCAAAACACAGACCATGTTGAAAGCTCACATATGTTCCACTAGGCATGATATAATTAGTCATTGGATTAACTTTACCTTAAACCATTTCCAGGATGTATTTCAGTAATATATTGTACAAAAATGGCTGTTCTGTAGCATAATGCCATACCAGTGAAATAATGCTACAACATACAACAGTCATGAATCTACTGCAGTGGCTCCAGCTACAAGTCCTGTACTACATGAGATTCACTGTTTATCATTTGTATGGTCACAAGGCTATCAAAACAAAGATGATCCAAACAATATATTCATTTTTTGCGATGCCTTTGTAAAAAATCTGAAATGGAACAAGGTAGCATTAAATGGTCCTGAACTTTCATAAATGCTCGGTTTCCTCTTGAACAAACTAGCACGGAATGTGATACTTTTATGATCCTTTTATGTTAAACATTGAGACATGGTAAAGAACAGTACTTCATCCATGAACACGTCACCCTATTACAGACTAACAATAAGGTAATTTCAATCTAATAACAAACTGTGTCATCTTTTATTCTGTAATAGCAAACTGGACAATTAGAAAATAATCCGTTTAAAAGCGTGCATTCCATCAGTAGACTGACATGCAGCAACTGGTTCTTGCTCTCAATACATTATGGAAGCAATCAAACCATAGTGAGGATGGCATGAGCCCATGGTCGGTGGCCGGGCGTACATTAATACAGAGTTTGAGAGCCTAATCTCTTTAATGCACTGCAATCGCATTGTACACGGAGTCCTCCGTTATTCTCTGTTTCTCAATACAGCATCGTGGCTAAATCATGTTTCGCGTGGAATCTATTTACATTCAACCTCGAGAGCCAGGCTAGGGGAAAATCTAATTTTCAACTTCACTGCTAGGAAAGAAAACTGTTTTGATGATTGGGAACCCTCTGACAGAGGACTGAATTCAGCCATCAGTGGTCCTGACAATGCTATTACTGGGCAACTGTTAAACCTCACAACTATTCATCAGAGTCTCTGGTTAGGGGGATGGGAGTGACAGCCGGTGTTGTAAGGGGAATAGTGTCCAGCCCTGGCTTTATCCCTGACCAGCCACCTGAACATGGACAACCTGCATGGCTAGCTTGTATGGTGTAATCTGCGATTAATGACCACATTGCTTGGCCAGATTGACCATTATCATTGGGAATGGGATTTCATCGTCTAGTTGTTTCTTTGTGGTTTGAACAGACGTTGCTGATGATCCTCGTACTACGGA